GAATATATTGTGTTTAAATAATCATTATTACTTTATATATTATTATCATTATTATTATTATTATTACAATGATAAAATGATACCACACAGCAGTAAAACAACTTTTAAACGAAGAAACAAATAAATAAGGAAGAGAAAGAGAGAGAGAAAAAACAATTGCAATAAGTTCATAAATATTATACATTGTGTGTGGGAACATTTTGTTCGTTTATAATTTTCTATATCTATTCTGTATATATTTATTTACAAGTAAATATTATAACTACTTAAAGTAATCATAAATTTACGAATATATATATATATTATTTTTTTAATTTCTCGTTCTTATTTTTTCATTATTATTATTAATTGTTTTGCACTCTAATTTAAAATACATGATATTAAAAAGTTGCATGATGATATATCTGATATTTGTTTAAAATAAATGACATTAATAGGTAACAATTTGTACAAATTATATATATATATATGTAGAAATTACAATTGATTCTTTTTATGTTTACACAGCTGTAGGTCATTGGCTTCTAAATACATCGCTAAAATGTAGTTGCTAAGTTGTAAAGTACATAGAATTAAAAACAAAAAAAAAAAAAAAAAAAAAAAACAAAAAAATAATAATGTATTTACATTCACATATTATATTTTATAATTTTTCCATTATAAAATGGAAAAAAATATCAATACATTTGCACAATCCGTATATAACATATACACGATTTAGTTTATAAAGAACAAAAATTTGTTTTTAATCATGTGTTTGCTCTGAAATTTATTATTTTATAAAATACAAGAGGGGACAAATATTAAAAGTGGAAACAAATTAAAAAAAAAAAAACACAATTGTACGGCCAAATATATCGACAATTAAATTTTAATCTCGCATGTTCGAAAGCTCACAAATATTTTTATTTTATATTGTAATGAAATTTTGTTGCTTGTATTGTACAAATGACGCAAAATAATTCATTTTGTGTGAAATATGTATAATAATTACATTAATATGTGTTTAAACTTAAAACTTTAATAGAATCTTCATTATTATTATTATTATTATTATTATG